CAATCTTTAAAAACCACAAGCATTAGAGATTTAATGGTCAGACAAAAGAACAGCAACAGGAAACGTCTCCAATTCCAAAAATGTGATTCTTCCTATGTTCAAGACAGTAAAAATATTAGCTTACACAAGGCAATCCTTGTACAGCCAGCAAATATCAAAACTAGACAAAACTACTGAAAACCAAATATTTGCGATATTGTTTTGGGAATTTATTCTGTCCACAGATGATTAACAGTTTTTTAACTGGACCATTATTATTATTAAATTTATTTGTTGCCTATCTCACCAAGGGGCTAAATAAAAGAAGAACTAAAAGGGAGTAGAAAATAAAATAACAGAATTAAATCAAGAAAGAAAAAGAAAGCAAAGAAAATACATCAATATCACTAGTAAAAAAGATGGACAAGCGGGGAGCAGAGAGCGAGAGGGGGGAGGTGGGGTCTGCTGTCAATCTAGCAGCCGCCTCCAGGGCTCCATCATCTCCACCAACCCTGGTCAAGCTTTTAAGTATTTCAGAAGAGAAGGGCGGGCTCAAAAAGTGGATCCTTACGTCCAATCGGCTTTGGTGTTGCTTTGTCATTTGGTCTTGAACTTTCAATCTCCGCAAGAGTTCCTTGAAGCCAACCATTGGGACTGGAATCAGCCTGCAGAAGTAGTTAAGAGCATGGATTCAGCAAACATTACCGTTGCCATCATCAGATTTTATCCCTTGTTCTTAAAAGAGCCCAGTGTGATATGCAGAGAGCAGTTAAAAATGAAGGAGATTATTAATACAACTATTTTTTTTCCTAAAACAAGATGATACAAATGCAAAAAATAAAAACACAATTCAAAAGGTGGTCTGATCTTGGAGCAATTATTACCTTGCAGATAGTAGATTGAACCAATAATTTAAGCCGGTTATTTCTCAACCTCAGCGACTTTGAGACATGTATACTCCAATTCCCAGAATTCCCGTCAGTCATACTGGCTGGGGAATTCTGGGAGTTGGACTCCACACATCTTAAATGTTGTCGAGGTTAAGAAACATCAATTTAAATGAAATGCTGTCGGTGCCATGGGGGAAACAGAACGAGTGCTGTAAATCTGCAGGGTAAAAGAATAACTCTTTTGTACATTATAATGGGGAAAAAACCCCAAGATCTCCTCTGGAGATCACTAGGAGCCTTTGTTGTTGTCAACTTTACAAAAATTGCTATTTCTCGTTAACAAAAAGAAGACAAAGGGGGAGTGACTAAGAAGGGCTAGCTGCTTTAGGAAGAGAAAGAAAAAGAAATGGAGAACAAAACTGCGTTGATGAAAAGGAAACTAATTGAATATAGGAGAGAAAAAAAGCCTCTCAAACAACAAATATTCAAAGCAGCCACTTTGCAGCAAGAATCATTTTTGGGGGGTCTTCTGAACCAACTGCAGGTCGTCCTCGACTTATAACAGTTCAATTAGTGACCGTTCAAAGTCACAACGGCACTAAAGAAGTGACTTCTGAGCATTTTTCACATTTACAACCATTGCAGCATCCCCATGGTTACACGATCAACCGACTTATATTTATGACGGCTGCGGTGTCCTGGGATCTTGTGATCCCCTTTTGCAAGCAAAGTCCACAGGGAAGGCAGATTCACTAAACAACTGGGTTACTAACTTAACACCTGCAGTGATTGACTTAACAGCAGCAGCAAGAAAGGTCATAAGATGGGACGAAATTTACCTGACAACCGTCTCGCTTAGCAACAGATAATTTTGGGCTCAATTGTGGCCGTAAGCCGAGGACCACCTGTGTTTCGATTTCTCCATCCCTCCTCTGGAAAAACACTGTTATTCCCTTCGTAAAGGTGCACTTTTTATGCGTCGTCTTGCAGACCCCACTTACTTTTCAGGATCCGGATTGTCCACTTTGGCCTGTTCCCAAATGATCGGATCAACACCTGTAAAGGGAGAAGAACAGAAATGATTTCTTCTCCATCTTTATTACTACCACAAAGGATCAGAAAAAAGGTCTGACAAAGGGATCCCTTTCTTTGTAACAAGAACTATCCGTTATGTTTTAATCCGTAGGCCTCTAAAGTTTAGGGGAAATGCTTGAAATTCTAGCTCAGGGGTAGGCAACCTTGGCTCTTTTATGACTCGTGGACTTCAACTCCCAGAATTCCTGAGCCAGCCATGCTGAGGGGAAAGGGAGAGTTTCCAAGCTGAGCCATGTTGGCTCAGGAATTCTGGGAGTTGAAGTCCACGAGTCATAAAAGAGCCAAGTAATAAAGTGAAGCTTCTAGGCCAAGGGTAGGCAACCTTGGCTTTTTTATGACTCGTGGACTTCAACTCCCAGAATTCCTGAGCCAGCATGGCTCAGCTTGGAAACTCTCCCTTTCCCCTCAGCATGGCTGGCTCAGGAATTCTGGGAGTTGAAGTCCACGAGTCATAAAAGAGCCAAGGTTGCCTACCCCTAGTCTAGCTGAAATAATAAACAGACCGTGCCAATTAAGATCTAAGACCTTTTCCTTTTACGTTCGCATGTAAACTGGTTTCCAGAATTAAATCAGACCCTCAGCCCTACGAACAGCTTCTCTCTTCTAGTGCAGGGAAATGATGAGTGTATAAGCCAATTTATATATTTGCCTCAGGTGAGATGGGCAGCTATAGAAATTTGATCAGTAAGCAAATAAATAACATAATCTCATTTCTGGAACTCATTCATGCAACGAACCCCAAATCCTTGAATACCAGGGATTATATGTTATGAGGGTGTGTGTGTGTGTGTATGTGTGGTTTTAGTCTTTGTATGCTGCCTAGAATCACTTGGGAAGCCATATAAATCACGGAAGGATGGATGGATGGAAGTTCTCTTTAATGAGTCAAAGACAATTGAATGATAGAATTTCTCTTGCTTAAAGGTAATGCAAACACAGGGATTTTTTTTTCTTAAGTAGAAGCATCTGAGAGGTTTCATGCTTAGTGCTGACTGACTCAACAAACATTCTTTCCTTCCTGTCCTAAGGTGGTATCTTTTAAAACTGCAGAATATTATCCAAATTACCTCACAGAGATATAATAATAATAATAATAATAATAATAATAATAATAATAATAAAGTTGGAAGGGACCTTGGAGGTCATCGAGTCCAACCCCCTGCTCAGGCAGGAAACCCTATACCATTTCAGACAAATGGCTGTCCAGTCTCTTCTTAAAGACTTCCAGGGTTGGAGCATTCACCACTTCTGGAGGCAGGTTGTTCCACTGGTTAATTGTTCTAACTGTCAGGAAGTTTCTCCTTAGTTCTAGGTTGCTTCTCTCCTTGCTAAGTTTCCATTTAGTGAGAAACCTTTTTGCAATCTTTCCAAATTGCAGGTAAAATCAGAATCAAAAGTACTGAAGCTATTTTTCTCCTTTTATAAGGCATTTGCTCCAAGAATCGCTCAAACGTTCGCTCCTTAAAAATATCCATTCAACCACTCGCTCGTACGACAGGAAGGCTTGGTTATCCATCCCAAGCCTGGGTTACCTGCAGGAGGATGCTGCAGCAACTGCTTCACCTGTGCTGGGGAGAGCTCCGTCCTGGCCATGGTGAGGGTCACGCCAAGCTGCTGCAACTGGGTTTTGATGTTGATTTGTTCAAAGTGCGCATAGAGGGTGGTGGCTGGAACGCGCCTGGAAGTGCCGTTGGGCGACCGCTCAACCACATAGATCACGATTTCTGTTCTAAAAATCAGTGAAAGGATTCAGATTTGATGTACAGGCAGTACTCGACTTACAACTGGTCGCTTAGCAACTGTTCAAAGTTAGGATGGACCCTGAAAAAGGGTCATGTTCAAAGTTAGGATGGACCCCGAAAAAGGGACACATGACCCAGATTTGAAGTTCTGAGGACTGCCTCTCCAGGGACACGTGACTGCATTTTGGGTGCTTGGCAACTGGCCCGCATTTACAGCCATTTTTCAGCAACCCACAATCATGTGACCCCAACTTATGCCAGAAACTAGTGTTTACTTCCAGTTTGGGGCAAAAAAAACACCACCCCACAGAGCATTGCATTCTAACCACTGCGCCACCACGGCTCTTTCTGGTTTTAAATAAGACTGCCCAATCTTACTGTTCGTCGGGCATGGTCTTCACTCCTTCTACGTTGACCGTCAGCGTCTGATTTGAACCCAGGATTTTGTGCAACGCTTCCACAAGTTGCTGCTGCTGACCACGGATCTCGGTTTCTTTTTTATTGAAGACTAGCGCCACCAAGCCATCTTCGTCCTTGTGGTTGGGCATGCAGCTGTAGCCCACAGCCTGTGAAGAGACAACTGTCTTTTTCAGTTGTTCCTTTTTCTGTATCAAGCACAGGACTCAGGAAGCCTTAAAATTTAACACTGGGCTGACCCAGAGAAGATTAGAGATAATTCCCAGCAGAGGGAACAGTTCACCCAACAGCCAACCAACTAAACCAGGGGTCTTCAAACTTGGCCCCTTTGATGACTTGTGGACTTCAACTCCCAGAATTCCTCAGCCAGGCACGCGTGCCTGGCTGAGGAATTCTGGGAGTTGAAGTCCACAAGTCATCAAAGGGCCCAGTTTGAAGACCCCTGCAATCCAGACACAAGGACGAGAGGACGACCGCCTACCTTAAATCTGCAGAATGGATTCTCCTGCGTAAATTCCACCGGGGCAATGTTGTTGTTGAAGTACCCTTTGCCTGTGCCCCAAAATGCCTGCAGCTGGTTCCACTTGGCCAAAATGGCATCTCGCTCATCTCCCAAGAGGGTGGGGGCGGAAAGGGCGCTGGCTGTGTGGATCAGGTGATTGGACTGTGCAGGGGCTTGAGCCGGTTGGCTGAAGAGACCACCGAGTGCTAAGGATGGATGAGAAGACCCCTGATTTAGAGGCAGATCAAATCTACCAAGGTAATATCCTCTGAGGTTCAACACCCCCTCCAATGCTTCTTTCCCCCCCCCCCTCAAAAGTATTTTATAATCTACAGCGCCATTTCTCAACCTGGGGAACTCGAAAGGCATGTGGACTTCAACTCCCAGAATTCCTGTGGCTGGGAATGCCACATGCCTTAAAGCAGGGGTCTTCAAACTTGGCCCTTGGGTGACTTGTGGACTTCAACTGCCAGAATTCCCGTGGCTGGGAATGCCACATGACTTAAAGCAGGGGCCTTCAAACTTGGCCCTTTGATGACTTGTGGACTTCAACTCCCAGAATTCCTCAGCCAGGCACATGTGCCTGGCTGAGGAATTCTGGGAGTTGAAGTCCACAAGTCATCAAAGGGCCAGGTTTGAAGGCCCCTGATCTAGATTATCATTGTTTTAAAAAAAATACTGGGCTGTAACTTTCTGTAACTACTGAGCTATTTATAAAAATAATAAAGGCGGGATAAAAATAACCTAAGTAAACACTCAAAGGAACGAATCTCACACAATTTTTCTTTCTTTCTTTTTTTTTTTTTTTGCCTTTGAAGCAGCAGCAGGAAGGACTAAGTCACCTGATCAGCATTATAAAAGATGACCTGGAAGACATAAAGCTGATAGAACATGGCTTAAACGAGAGCATTCCGGTTAGAGGGGGGCGTCTTCAGTTGATCCGTTGGCCCTTTCCATTGACTGTACGGGCATAGAAAACACGTGGTTTTCCTTGGCTGAAATTCACTGGTTGGTTTTTTTGGACCTTCAATCTCAGTGAAGGTTCTGAGCAAGGGCCAGACACTTGGCATTCAACCATGAAGGTCAAAGGGTAAAGATTAAAAAAAAGCTGCACTTGATTTTTAAGATGGAAAAAGATACTTTACATACTGGGAGTTGGAAGTCCACGAGTCATAAAAGGGCCAAGTTTGAAGACCCCCTGCCTTAAAGTTCCCAAGGTTGAAAAACACTGATTTACAGAATTAGAGAGCCAGTTTAGGTCTACCGCTAGTGGTTTAGACACCAGGCTAAAAAGCAGGAGATTGAGAGTACTAGGTCTGCCTTATACATGAAATACAGCTAGATCACTTCCGATTATTAAATATTTCGGGCCACAATTAGGAGCAGAATTTCTGTTGCTAAGCAAGATGGTCATTGAGTGAGTTGAACCTGATTTTATGACCTTCTTTGCCACAGTTCCAGAGTTGTGGAGTGAATCACAGAGTCATTAAGCAAATTTAGCCTCCCCCATTCGCTTTGCTTGTCAGAAGATCACATGTCCCTGGGATACTGCAAACGTCATAAAGATGTTCCAGTTGCCAAGCGCCCAAATTCTGATCACGTGACCATGGGGATGCTGCAACGGTCGTAAGTACAAGAACTGGCCCTAAGTCCCTTTTTTCACTGCCACTGTAATGGTCGCTAAATGAATTGTTGTAAGTCAAGGACTACCCGTATTGGAAACTTTTGTTTTAGGTTATTACCAGTTGTTAGATTGAACGCGAGGCTGCCTTAAAACATCCCAGGACCGTAAACCAGATTGGAAGAAGCTAGATTCAGAAAAACAAATTGAGAACAATTTGGAACTAACACTGGGATGCCTCCGACAATGTAGTTCAGCTTTGTCTCCTCTGGGATAGTCCAGAGGAGTTGGGACATTTCCCAGAATGTTCTTGGAGAAGGCCAGGTTTGTGTTCTTTGATAATAACAATAATAACAACACCAATAACAATAATAATAAAGTTGGAAGGGACCTTGGAGGTCATCTAGTCCAACCCCCTGCTCAGGCAGGAAATCCTACACCATTTCAGACAAATGGCTGTCCAGTCTCTTCTTAAAAACTTCCAGTATTGGAGCATTCACAGCTTCTGGAGGCAGGTTGTTCCACTGGTTAATTGTTCTAATTGTCAGGAAGTTTCTCCTGAGTTCTAGGTTGCTTCTCTCCTTGATTAGTTTCCATCTGTTGCTTCTTGTCCTGCCTTCAGGTGCTTTGGAGAATAGCTTGACTCCCTCTTCCTTGTGGCAGCCCCTGAGATATTGGAACGCTGCTATCCTGTCCCCCCTCGTCCTTCTCTTCGTTAAACTAGACATACCCAATTCTAGCAACCGTTCTTTATATGTTTTAGCCTCCAGTCCCCTGATCATCTTTGTTGCTCTTCTCTGCACTCTTTCTAGAGTCTCAGCATCTTTTTTACATCGTGGTGACCAAAACTGGATGCAGTATTCCAAGTGTGGCCTTACCAAGGCATTGCGAAGTGGTATTAATACTTCAATGATGACAGCTCTATGTTATTCCACGCTTTCATCAAAAACGCTTTTAGCATCTTTTTTGAAAAGTCCTGTTTAAAAATAGCTGTGATGACTTCTGATTGGAATATGGATTGTGGATACTGTCTCTTTGCCCACAGGGTGGTTATTAGATTATAAGGGGGGAAGGGACCTTTGAGGTCATCTAGTCCAACCCCCTGCTCAGGCAGGAAACCCTATACCATTTCAGACAAATGTCTGTCCAGTCTCTTCTTAAAAACTTCCAGTGTTGGAGCATTCACCGCTTCTGGAGGCAGGTTGTTCCACTGGTTAATTGTTCTCACTGTCAGGAAGTTTCTCCTTAGTTCTTGGTTGCTTCTCTCCTTGATTAGTAGTTTTGCCCCTCTTATCTGCAGTCAGTCAAAAGAAGAAATCTTTTCCTTTTGAAGAGGGAAATTTCTCCAGCTTAACACAGAGAGTTTAGATACTCTCTTTGGAAATGTTTAACCTCTCTATGTAGGTAGTCCTCAACTTATAACAATTCACTTAGTGACCGTTTGAGGTCACAACAGTGCTGAAAATGTATTTTATGACTGTTTTTCACACTTATGACCATGGCAGCATCCTCACGGTCAGGTGATCAAAATTCGGACACTTGGCAACTGACTCATACTTAGGACGGTCGCCGTGTCCAGGGGGTCATGTGATCACCTTTGGCCACCTTCTGATAAGCAAAGTCAATGGGGGGGAAACCAGATTCACTTCACAACCGTGTTACTACCTGAACAACTGCAGTGATTCACTTAACAACGGTGGCAAGAAAGTCCACAAAAATGGGGCAAAGTTTACTTAACAATCATCTTGTTTAGCAACGGAAATCTGGGGTTCCGCTGTGGCCGTTAAGTCGAGGACTCCCTGTACTTACTTTGTTGCTGCTGCTGAGGGTTGAAGCCACCAAATCCCAAGCCGGTGCCAAGCCCAGTTCCTGTACTGGGCGCTGTTCCAAAGCTGGTACCAAAACCAAAAGTTTTGTTCTGGGTAGCGCCAAACAGCCCTGGAGGAAGGAGAAAGAACATCAGCCGAGAAGGCGACGACTCGCAAAGGGCCAATCAGAAAGTCACCTCTGCATTGGTCACTTCCGGGCACTGACCTGTGTTGACAGGCGTTGAGAAACTAAATGTAGACCCCGGTGCGGTGGTGGTGGTGGTTCCAAAGCCCCCAAAGGCTCCTGGGAAACCAAATACCAAAGTTAAAAGGAGGGTCACTTCTTCAAAGGCAGCGAATTGTTCAATGACAAGCATGCTGGTTGGCATTCGAGAGAGACGGTGACAAATGAACATGGCTGGTGTGGCCTGATACTCACGCAAGATCCAATGACAGCAGAAAATAGCCAGTGTTAGTTTATGGTTGGAGAAAATATACATACACCTGTAAACCCCCCCCCTCCCTTTTTTAAAAAGAAAATCTAGTCTTTGCTCATAACTCAAATAAGGAGGTGAGACATTTACTTTACGCCAGTGTGACCGCTTGAAGGTGTCTGGACTTTACTCAGAATTCCCCAGCCCGCCATGCAATTAAAACAATTAATTTTTTTAATAATTTAATTATAATTATTTGAAGGGCGGTCTTTTCCTGGTCATATAGACGTGACCCACTAGACCGGAGACGCGTGAAATGTTGTGGGTCCCCTTTTCTAAGGAGGTACAGCCTAGCGAGACCCCAAAGAAGAAGGGCCTTCTCCGTGGTGATTCCCTCCGTTTGGCACATAATCTTTGTGGAGGTTAGATTGCCCCCCCACTTGGACACTCTTTCTCAAGCCTCTGGTTTTGCCAATGGGCCTAGGGAGCCCAGAGCAGGATGGAGCCCACCGAGCAGGTTATCTGTTGCTGCCAGGGGTGTGGGATGGTATTGTTTTTAATGTTTGTTAAGTTGTATATTGGCTTTTTGTAAGGTGCCCAGAGTCACTGATAGTGAATGAGTGGGAATGAGAAGGGGAAAAAAAGAGAAGGAAGGAAGGAAGGAAGGAAGGAAGGAAGGAAGGAAGGAAAGAAAGAGGGAGGGAAGGAAAGAAAGAAAGAAAGAAAGAAAGAAGGAAAGAGGGAAGAAAGAACGAAAGGGAAGGGAGGAAAGAGGGAAGGGAAGAAAGAAAGAAAGAAAGAAAGAGGGAGGAAAGGAAGGAAGGAAAGAAAGAAAGAGGGAAGGAAGGAAGGAAGGAAAGAGGGAAGGGAACAAAGAAAGAAAAAAAGAAAGAAAGAAAGAAAGAAAGAAAGAAAGAAAGAGGGAAGGAAGGAAGGAAAGAGGGAAGGGAACAAAGAAAGAAAGAAAAAAAGAAAGAAAGAAAGAAAAAAGAAAGAGGAAGGAAGGAAGGAAGAAAAGAGGGAAGAAAGAACGAAAGAAAGGGAAGGGAGGAAAGAGGGAAGGGAAGAAAGAAAGAAGGAAAGAAAGAGGGAGGAAAGGAAGGAAGGAAAGAGGGAAGAAAGAAAGAAAGAACGAAAGAAAGAACGAAAGAGGGAAGGAAGGAAGGAAGGAAAGAGGGAAGGGAACAAAGAAAGAAAAAAAGAAAGAAAGAAAGAAAGAAAGAAAGAAAGAAAGAAAGAAAGAAAGAAAGAAAGAAAGAAAGAAGGGGGGAAGGAAGGAAGGAAAGAGGGAAGGGAACAAAGAAAGAAAGAAAAAAAGAAAGAAAGAAAGAAAAAAGAAAGAGGAAGGAAGGAAAGAAGGAAGGAAGGAAGGAAGGAAGGAAGAAAGAAAATCAATTCCTAGAAACTTTATGAACATGTGCATGTATTATCTTGACAAGAACACCAGAGGGATTAATTATAGCTCTCTTGCAGGACATTCCCCCCCCCCCAAACTCTCAAACTAGCCCACAGTTTTCCAGGCCATCCTTCATCTAAATACTAACTAAATCCTGTTAAGCTTCTTTTCCAGATCAGCCACAGTTGGCTAGGAGAGAGAACATGTTAATGAAACCGCACAATATATAAGAAAGTGGGGTGGATTAATAATTCTGGAACTCCCTCAAGCACAGGGACAACAGAATTTATTAAATGGCTTCTCCTAATATGGGAAGAATCAGAAGTGGTTTGTTATTGCTACTTGGATAGCAACAACTGTTGGGCCATCTTTACAAGTTCTGTGAGCCTACGTAAACAAGCAGCAGAGTTTCTATATGAATTGTAGTGATCATATCGTAGTTCTGTACCCCTTCTGCATTTTTTCCTTGCAATAGCAGCTCCACAGGAAATGCCTACTGAGGAAACAATTCCAATGTATCATAAAACAGTATTATTAGGATTATTACTTAAGGTGGTGATTGCTTTAACAGTGAATATGAATCTACAATACACTAAATGTTGAAATGTCTGCATAGATAGTACAGAAATGATGGGAACCATGGAATGAATATATCATATACGAGCAGCTAGAACATTTACTACAAAAGAAATATACAAAAGAGTGGAGGTAAGTACAGAGATAATTACTATTAAAGTCAGCAAAAATAGATTTTTTTAAAACAAAAAGTCTTTATTATTGAATGTTTTTAATCAAAGCCAGCGGGAGATTTTTTGTTATTCTTGGTGCTGATCGTATATAATTGTGTTTTTCCACAGAACCTTGACAAACGGATGGTAGATTCATGATAATTGAAATTCAATGAAGAGACATAAGAAATGGAATATATAAATGTAGCAGAGTCCAAGAATTCAAAAAACAAACAAACAAAAAACCAGGAAAGGAATACCTTTAAATTTTGAAATTATTTAGCCCTTATGCCATGGAATTACAGTTGTGTATATCTATTGTATTAAAGGTAATTGGGCTAATTTCATATGGGGGGAATGTGTCTCAATCTTGAGCCAAATGGATTCAAAACAATTAGCATGTTTGTATAGACAGACTCAAAAACATACACTATGAAGTATAACTGAGAATATATTTGCCAGAACAGTATATATCTTATACGTACACGCACACATTTACACGTGTTTATGTATGTATGTGTCCCTCTCTCTTTCATTGGCAAGATTGTGTGCTTTTTTGCTATGCATCTATTATCTGAATGGAAATACATTAAAAAATCAACTTAAAGCTCTGTGCCAATTTTACATTAGCTCTCAGTTAATCATTCTTAATTTCTTGGCTGCAGATTTAACTTGATTTCTGCTTTCTTTTATGCAGCTACTGTTAGAAATGAGAACATATATTCATTATAATTCCTGTATCTCTAAGCACTGCTGAATCTTGTAGTTATTATCACTGATAAAACAATGAAGAAATCAGGCAAATTTCTGGAACTATTTAATGGATCTGCCTGTAATGTCAGACCTTGTGCTAAGGTGGATGATGGACCCCTGAACAATGTTCTGCTTTTGACTGTTACTATGCTGGTCTTTTGATAAATGTGTTTAATTATTATTTTTACTTATTATGTATTAAGCTTGCTGCCCATCTCATTGCGAAGCAGACTATTTTTCCAATATATTTTGTAAGCCACCCAGAGTCATAACAGATTAGTGTAGTCTATACAATTTATGTATTAAATTTATATGCTGCCTACCTCACCAATAAAGGCAACTCGGCAGTTTTATTTTACAAATAAAGCATTTCAGGTAGAAATCCCACGTAAATTATTTTTAAAATGAATAATAAAAGCCAAGAAATATTTTTGTCAAATTTTGGCTTGAAGGACTTCTTAGGGATTTTAACGCAACTTGTCCATGAACTTTCAAAAACTGTGAAGTGTAAACTGAATTCTTGGAACCCTCCAAAAACAAAATAATTACGAGCATCACATGAACATTCTCTACCTGCGCTGGCCAGGCTGTTACCAAAATTAAACGGTGGCGCCGAAGTAGTAGAGACACCAAAATTCCCAATATTAAAATTCACGGCAGGATTAGCAGTTAATCCAAAACCCCCAAAATTAAACCCAGTGGCAGCGGAATTTGCTGCTTCAAGCCCACCAAATCCTGATGAGTGGGAAGCATAAAGAAAGCAAGATAGAGTCAGTGAGAAATCAGACATCTTCTAAGCAATAAAACCATTTCTTAACTACCAAAATACAAGAAAACCGATAGCAGGGATGTAGGAACATGGATTCCCATCAGCCCCCCACCCCATCAACAGGACCATGGAAAGTCAGTGCAAGGGTCCCCAAAGCTTGGAGGGCCACAGATCGCCAAGGTTAGATGTGGGATTTTCTTATAATTTTACCACCTTTTAACATTTTAACTTTTGAATTCTCATATCGCCATTTTATACCTTGATACTGTCCTGGACACCGCCCAGAGTCCCTCTCTGTAGGGAGTGATGACCAGGAATTAGGGGACAGTATTAATTATGAATACATTTTGCAATATTTAAGAGCCAGAGCCAACAAAACCTGCTCCCCTTTGATCTTCAGCCATTCTAATAATTATGGATTGAGGACGGCTTCATATTTCTATACTCTAACCATCCCCAAGTATAGAAGAGTCTTTTCCCTGGCCCGTTTCAATGTCTTGCCCTCAGCACTACTCGACGGGCGATTCAAGAGGCTCCTATTTAGTGAGCGACTATGCCCCTGTGATAGGGCTGAAGTTGAAACTGTGGAGCATGTCTTATCATACTGCCCTATGTATAACACAGGCAGAATTAAATTACTCTCTCTCCTTGGAATTGATCCCTCTGGTTCTAATATTAGTAATTTGGTCTTATATTGTTTAGAGGATGGCTCCTCCTATATTACTTCTCAGGTTTCTAAATTTCTTTTAAGAGCTGTAATAGGTCACTTATTTTTACTTATAATTATTAATATGATGTTATAATTATTGTGTTTTATATTAGTATATTTGTTTAAAAGAGAGTTAAAGGATGTTACAGATCTGTTAATCTAATAGTTGATTAATGTTAGATAGAGTATGGTTATTGTATTGTTAACCCTGTGATTGGCTCTGGGAAGTGGGGGGGGGAGGGAGGGGGG